CCCTGATTCTGCATAGCGCCCCCAGCGCCTCGGAGCGGGACGGCAGCTCCGGGCCCCTCGCAGCGCTCCGCCCAAATCTCCCCGGGACCTGCAGTGCCCCCTGCGGCTGGGAGGGGAATTGCAGATTCGACCCGAGGGGGGCGGAGTGGGCGGTGCTTTTGGACCCTATGGCACCATAACTGGTCAGTCTCCCTTCAGGGAGTTTCATATCTGAATGTATTCCAGCAGTTTTTAACTTACCGTTTGCTAACACTAAAGTCATTTAACGGGGTGGGAGGATGAGGGGACAGGTAACTAAACTGAGTGTTTTGAGCTAAAAATTTAATGTTCTTGATACCCCATTCCTGTCCTGAAAATGACTACCCTCCCTGTCATCTTTTAGGAAACACTGTCCCCATCAGTGTATAAGACGCAGTATCTTTCCATTTTCATCTGTCCATAATATGATCACACCAGTTATTTTGTTTCTAATTGGCCAGCTGCATCCATTGCAAGTTATGTCTTTCCACTGGCTGAAGGCCAACATCTTGGTGTTCTGCATTGAACCCATGGAGCTTCTTCCCCTTTCTAGTTTCCCAATGGTAGTAAGCCTAAGTGGACCTCCACTTTCATGGGAATGGGGAAGAGACTGTAACAAAGGGACTCTATTCCCTGATTCAGTAGCACTTCATCTTACCATGAAACTAGTGGGGCTGATGTCATAGTCCCACAACTCCTAACTTCATCTAGCCAGGTGTGGTGGTACACACCTGTAATCCCAGCACTTGGGAAGCTGAGGCAGGAATGCTGCAAATTTGAGACCAGCCTGGGCTACACAGTTCAAGACTAACTACACAGCCAGACCTTGTCTAAAAAAAAAAAAAAAAAATCAATAAAAGTGTAAGACACTGATTGCTCCTGATTAGAAGTCTGTAGACATCCTAAGATTTTTGGCTAGATTGTTGTTCACAACAGTTAATGGGAAATATCATTTAATTTGCTAATGTCATACTGGCACGTTCCCTGGTCTTGCAGATGCAAAGACAAGTAGTACAAGCCAGAGACAAAGCAGTAAGATAGTCTAGCTGTGACTACTTCTCTAAAAGTGGCTATTTCTTTCATCAGTCTTCCCTACAGACAGGTAAAAACAAGTAGCTGGTTCTTTCTCCAAGATGTCTGTGCCTGCCCAGTTAGTTATCTTTTCTCTATTACTTTGTCTACATCCTTGACCTACATTTCTTATAGCAAAGGCTGGGGTGGGGTGGGGAGGATATCAAGATTTTGAAGTACAAGGCATTTAAGGAAGTCATTCTAGAACTATCCTGTGGAACGTCAAGGAACATCCCTTCTCTATTCCTTGTAACTTTCATCCCCCAGAGCCAGTCTCAGGCCTGACTCAAGATTGTTTTTCTGGACTGAAAGACAATGCACATGGCTGGATAGGGCTGTAGCTCAGTAATAGAGCACTCGCTGGCACATTCAAAGACCTAGGTTCAACCCTCAGCATTGCAAAAGAAGCACATGGCCCATAAATTATAGTTGGTAAGAGGAAAATGAATGGCTGGGATTTCTCTCGTATAAAGCTTTAACTACTGCCCCAGTGTCTACAACTTGCTTCTCACAGCTCCACAGACAGAAATGTTAGTGAGCTCAGAAGTAGGAAAGGAAAAGAGGAAGTTTATTCAACAAATATGGCAGACACTTCTCATGTGCCAGGAACTTTCCAAAGTTTTGAGAACACTGACTCAAACAAAGCCCCTCCCCACATGGAGTTTACATTCTTTCCTATACTACTAGCAGGACTTCAGGAATGAAAAATGATACCACATGTGGCTGCGCCAAAAATAAAAAGTAGGAAAAAAGAAAAACCCAACTATAGGGACTGAGGAATTTGTCTAGTATATGAAAGACCTTAGCTTCAGTCCCCAGCATCTCAAGAAAACAAGAACACAACAAAGAACAAACCCAGGTATAAAATTTCTAAAAAGGAATAAAGTCATTTTAGATGCTCAAACTTGCCAGGAATAGCGGCACACACCTCCCAGCATTCTGGAAGGCTGAGGCAGTAGATTGTGAGTTTTAGGCCAGCCTGGGCTACATAAGCTCAAGGCTGCTCTAGATTAACAAGATCTGGTGTCCAAAAAAAAAAAAAAAGAAAGAAGAAAGAAAACCAATGGGCACACGTATAATCTCCAATACTCAGGGAGGCTAAAGCAGGAGGATCACAAGTTCAAGCCCAGTTCAGGCAGCTTAGCAAGATCCTGTCCCAAAATTTTAAAAAAAAGGTTGCACAGTAGCTCAGTGTGAAGGCCCTAGCTTCAGTTCCCCAAATTGTTTTGTTTTGTTTTTTAATGTAATTCTAACCTTAGTCACATACCACTCCCCTGCCCACCTCCAAAGCCCCTCTTTTGTTTCCAGGGCAGGTGACAACTTTCTTTTTCTCTAGGGTATATTTTCACCTTCACAAAGGTACCTGCTCCAGGTAGTCAAGCCAATTCTGTCTTCACTGGTATTCAATGAGTGCCACCCATTTGAAGCAGGAAACTAGGATGTAGGCTAAGCAACCTGACTCTTCTTGCTGACTGGAAAGTCAGCACCACCACTTTACCTCCACTGTAAAGAAAAGCTGAACCTTAGGGACACAGGCTCTCGCTAGGATCTCTAAGCAACTACGTTTCACTCACACACACCGTACAACGCTAACATAGGGAGAAGAAAGGTTAGAAAAGTCTAGAGGGCAGGGGTATGGGGAAGAAATGAGAACCAAGATCTGTCCTGTAAAGGTGTAAGATCTCGATGAATTTAACTGTACTGTACACTTAAAAAGTACCAATAAACTAAAAAAAAAAAGAATAGAAAAGTCTAAACACTTGCACCACATAGCTTCTTTCAGCAAACACTCCAAATTGAGGCACTCCAACTGAAGCATTAGAGAAAATACCCTCCCCTAGAACAAAAGAGAAGCTTCGCTGCTAGCAGAATTTTCCAAAAGCACTAGTCTTAGGATGGAGAAGTTGCCTAGCTCTTTCAAAGCTAAATTCTGATGACTAAATCTCCATCTCTCCAGGATGTTAACAAGTGAAAACTCTTTTATAAATTCTTGTTTTCCACCCTGCCTTCTCCCCACTACCCAAAGCCCAGTCTAGACAACTTTCTGATCATACTAGCAAACATTTCTCAGGGAACTATATAGTATTAATACTTCAACAATCTGGAAGAGAGCAGGGAAGAGGGGATAGGTAGGTGCCAGGAAAAAGACACCGAATCAGACCATCAGAAATAATCAAGGGAGCCAGGCATGGTGGCCCATGCCTGTAACCCCAGCACTCAGGAGGCGGAGGCAGGAGGATCGCTGTGAGTTAGGACCAGCCTGGGCTACACAGTGAGTTCCAGGTCAGTCTCAACTACATAGTGAGAACCTGTCTCAAAAAAACAAAACAAAAGAAAAACAACAACAACAAAAAAGAAAGAAGGAAAAAGAAAAGAAATAACCAAGGGGACTGGAGGTTTAGCTCAGTGGTTCCACTGCTTGCCTCTCAAGCGAGTTCGATCCCTGGTACCAAATAACCAAGGTTTTAACAGAAGCCTGGGCAGTAAGATCTGAGCTGCTGTGGTGAAAAGCCCAACCATGTTTTAGATAAAGGGGCTGAATGTTAGATGGCCTTTTCCTTTCCTTGCCTTTCTTTGTAGAGAAAGGAAAAAGACACTATAGTACACAAGGTTGCTTGGGAAAATGGATTATTCTAATAAAACTTTATTTTTTCAAACACAGCCACAGAGGCAGAACCTCATGTTTAACACACACAGACTTAAGGATTTTTTAATATAAAACAAAGTTTACGAAAATTTTTTTTCCACTTTTTTGTTTTTGTAATCCCATTAGCACAGGGACTTTGGCAGCAGGTGGGAGTGAAGGGCAGCTAAGGCTGCCACTGGGCAGTCACCGGGCACAGGAGAAGAGCACCAGCCTGGGAGTGGCTTCACTCACATACGCAGGGTACTCACCTACCGGCCAGCCACACCACACACACAGCACAGATGCAGCCTTCTACCCAGCGTCGGCACAGCCCTGGAGGTGTGCTCCACGCTGGGCAAGCCCGATATGTGAAAACCCAAAGAGTCAAAACAGCTAAAGTAGAGGGAAGTTGCTTGCTTTACAAAAGAAGCAATCATAGGCTGCTTTTAAATGGTCAGCAGTCCAAATGCATTGAAAAACAGCATTTGGCTTACATATAACTGTTGGGACAGATTTACTGTATGAAGCAAAATGAACCACTTCTGGAAAAGGCTTGTTCCAGGGCCACAGGTGCTTAGATTGGGAAGCAAGATGATAGCTCTGACTAGATTAACTTTCCAGACTTAAAGTAATAGAATTAAAATATGACAACTGTAGGCCTTCTTCCCTAAGGATGATACCCTAGAGCTTTGGGGAAGCCAGGATGGAGGCAGAATCGCTGTCCTCACTTCTTCAGTTTAGGGCCTGCAGAGACCCCATAGGCATTGCCTAATGGAAGCTGGCACAGCCAACCTGTAGCAGAAAGCACAGGGATGAGGATGCCCCAGGAGGAAAAGAAGCTGGCACCAGGGAAATTATGGCCTGACAAGGGAGAAGAACCAGGGGAGAGATGAAAGTAAGGATGGGTAACTCCTGGGCTGTTTCCCTGGATTCTCTGGAGAGCCTCTCTCAGGCCCCTAGAGACCTTGTAGCCCAGTGTTAGTATGTGGTAACCAGCCAGGAGACAGGAAGGAGCCCTGGAAGGGGAGAGCTTCTAAGGACCACAGGCTACTTCCTCCGGAGCGGAGGCAGGGAGGCTGGAGCCTTGCCTTTCCAACATGTGGGCAATGTAGAAAATGTCAGGCTTAATTCCACAAGGAAGAAAAAAGAGACCTTGGTCTCTGTTCCTAACATGAGAAACTGGGTCCTAAGACACTCTGGAAATTGAACAGAAAAATGCCTTTCTTGCAATAAACAGGAAGGGTGGGTCCAATTTGGTCACGGTGGGTCTAACCAAATCTGGACAAAGCCTCAGAGGACACTGTGGCAGCAGCTTCAGTATCATATCCACTGGGGCCAGCCCTACCAAAGTATGTGTAGTCTCAAACCCATCACTTAAACCCACACTGCAGCCAGTGGGACCTGCTGCCCTGGCTCAAGTTGTAGGTAAGAAACAAAAAAGGAAATTCAATCCAATGATAACAAACCCCCAGCTGCTTCTCACAGCCTTTGCTTTACACATCCTCAGCCAATCCCTCAGTAAGCCCCAACCTCTCTTTGTCTCTCAGGGCCAATTAGAGGCAAATAAACATTTCCTGGCAGGAGTGGAAGACAAGCAAACTGTTAAATGCTGAACACCCCTTTCTTTTTGCTCAAATAGGTCAGAAAAGGTGGGCCTGATCTTGTAAGAACAGGCTTCCCCACAGCCTGCTTCCCAGGGGCAGTGATGGGGCAAGCGCACCTGTCTGTTGGGAACTGAAGCCCACTGCACCTGCTGCAAAGTCTGCCTCAACAGATGTGGGGGCCAAGACTGGACCTTGCTCCCTTTCTTTGACCTGGAAGGTCAGAAGATTAAAAAAGGTCCTATCAGTGAAGAAAAAAAGAGAAATGAAGCCCTTCAGCCCTGCCTCGGTTGCCCAAATGTGCTCGTACCTACCCAGAGCAAGAGAGGCAGGTTGCAAACAGCCTAGACAATCTGATGAGAAAAAAGGCCAGCTCAAAGTAAATGTAGTGAGTTATCTGCAGCCCTCAAAACTAGATATATCTAGTGGGAAGGGGCTGGGACTGTAGATAAGATCATTAGCAGAGGTCATAGCAATTAGAAGACCCTGCTGTACCCCAAAATAGAATCCTTTAGAGCCAGTGATGCTATGGATTACAAGCCTGGTTCCAGAGATATTTAGAAAAAAAGAAAGCTTGGAGCCCTCATCTTGACTCCTTGAATAAGCCTGCTGTCCTGTTAAAAAAAAAAAAAAACTCAAGATCCCGGGGTACCATGATGCTCTGCTGTTAAGGAGCAACTGCCTTCTTTCCCTAAGGCTACGCAAACACACCTTCCCACAAGTACACTTCCATGCACGCACACACTCTCACACACTTTCTCCAAGGAGGCTGACTGAACCCCCCACCCTGGCCAAATTCTAAGACACAAGTGCCCTTTGAAGCAAAGGGGCTAGTGAAATTCCCCGAGCTGGGGTCAGCAGACCCCTTCCTTCCCTGCCCATTGCTCTCTCAGGGGCAGGGATACTCACACTCAGGGCCGCCATGGGAAGGGTCTGTTCTGGGGCCATCCCTCCCCCAACCAGCTCTGTTTATCTTGTCCCGGCCAGCCTTGCCATGGTCCAGCTTGCTGGAACGAGATTTCCGGCTGCCCTGAGTCGGAGCCCTCCGCTCACCCCCATTCCCAGGCTGGGCCCTCAGCCTTGGGGCCTCAACACTTGTTAGTAGCCATAAGAGAGTCAGTCTGTGTGGCCCCAGGAAATAGCCTCTCAATTTTAGTTCTCCTCAATCAGATTCAAGTCCAGGTCCCCAAAGTCCTGCTGGCACAGTGTCTGCTTGCTCAATGCCTGTCGCCCCCACCGCACAGCCCCCTCTTCCTCCTCTTCACTTTCACTCAGCACCTGGGAGGAACCCTCAACGGGGCTGCAGGAAGTAGAGAGAGGCGTGGGGCTACAGGCCATGAACCATGGTGGAGAGATGCTGCTGCCTTCCCGGGCTGTTTCTTGGAGACAGAGAGCTCCTGAGTATGGTTTCTGTCAAACAAATAAGAAATTTAAGACAGAGAAAGATACTTCCTTCCTAGAACATCCCTAAGGTATATTTCAAAGTGTCCCTCTCTGTTATACCTGAAGGCAAGAATTTTAGGTTTTAGGGTAAAGCTGCTACACCCTGATAAAACTTGGGAAATTGGACCTGGGCATGGTGCCATATACAGCATATAACTGTAATCCCAGCACTTGGGAGGCTGAGGCAGGAAGATTGCCTCAAGTTTGAGGCCAGCTTGCTCTATAGAGTAAGTTCAAGAACAGCCTAAACTACAGAATAAGACCCTGTCTCAAAAAAAGATCCCCCCCAAAATTGGGGGGGAAATTTAGTATACATGCAGATCTGAGGAAAGATCTGTTTCCATCAGATTTAAGAAAAAAAATTCATCCATAAATTCCATGCAGATAGGAACATAATATCCTCATTCTGCCGCTCTGTTCTGCCAGTGCTTACTCAAAGTCAATACACTATGTTTTTTGTTTGTTTGTTTATTTTGAGGTGCTGAGGATCACACCTAGGGTCACACACATAGTAGGTAAGCAAGCACTCTACCACTAAGCTACACTCTTAGGTCTTTTAAAATATTTTATTTTAACAAGGTCATGGTGGTGCATACCTATAATCCCAGCACTCAGTAGGCTGAGGTAGGAGGATCTCTGTGAGTTTGAGGCCAGCCTGGGCTACATGGTGAGTTCATACAATTTTTTTTTTTTTTTTGTACCAGGGGTCGAACTCGGGACCTTGCCCTTGCAAGGCAGGTGGTGGAACCACTAAGCTAAATCCTTGGCCCCTACATAGTGAGTTTAAGGGCTAGTCTGAACTACAAAGTGAGACCCTGTCTCAAAAAACAAAACAAAATTTTATTTCAGGACAGAGTCTGAGTTGCCCAGGCTGGCCTTGATGTTGTGCTCCTGCCTCAGTTTCCCAAATAGCTGGGGTTACAAATGCATGCCACCACGATCAGCACATTTTGGGTTTTCAATAAATGCTCATTGCATGGCTGGATAATTGTATGAACACATGAAGAGATTCTCAAAGAAGTATGTAACCTAGTAGTGTAAAAGAAGACTATGAAACAAGTGGGCAAGTGCATACAATAACCGCATTCACACTAGGAAGCCATAAAACATTTGTTGAACAGATGAACAATGTCACAGCCCATCTTGCTTAAGCCTTCACAGGCCCACTTGAAGCAGTGAAGGGCAAGTGGCAAAAACCAGTCCTGAGCAGGCATGGGGCACTGGTGATGGGATTTTTATGGGTGATGCATTCATAGGAAGGAAGGTGCCTGTGGCAGGATAATCAAAAATCCTGTCTGAAGGTTTGACATAGTACTCACACCAGTTTCTCTGGGAAATTGAGGACTCTTTTTTTTTTTTGTACCAGGGATTGAACTTGGGCCCTTGCAGGTGGAGGAACCACTGAACTAAATCTCCAGCTTTGAGGACTCTTTTCAGACAGAAATTTTCAGTACTAAAACCAGAGTAGTTCCATGCAAACTGTAGTAAAAGCTCAGACAAAAAAAAAAAAAAAAAAAAAAAAAAAA